CCCCCCCCCCCCCCCCCCCCCCTTTACTGTAGATATTTCGTTATATCAAAATTGGACGCCCTCTTAAATAAATACACAGTGTATGATGCAACGATATATGTAGATATAGACACTGCCTCGTATCCAGGCGCTACAGTATGTTGCTGCTTGGTTCGCATCGCTGTTGCGTGGCCTTTGCGTGGGGCCGCGTGGATTGTTTGTTTTCGTGAAAGAAAAAAAACAAAGCTCCTGGGTACGAGGCAAGATTATACACCAGTACATGCTCGTACCCAGAGCCCTTCTTACGTTGACCGCGCGTAAGAAGGGCTCTGGGTACGAGAATGACACCAGTAAACCTCGCGTATTCCAACAACACTGAAGTTTTCATTTTTATTTCTTAATCATACAGTAGTTAACAATTGTAATGTATGCTATGAATTCAACATAATCTCTCGGATGAATTTGTTCTTGAAGAAAATGCTTGGATTTAAAAATAAGTTAAATATAGTATATAATTATTTACAATATCTCTCCGTGCATGTTTATGTCACAAACATTCAGGCCAGCAGATGATGGTCAACTTGGAATTTTTAGGAGGAAGAAAATTAAACTAAATCTTTTTTAGCTATTTGCCACCAAATATATAAGGCGAAATAATACAAATAACATTTCTCACTCCGAAAGTGCGTGTTAACCATGATTTGCTGCCACAATATTTTGCTCAGTTAATCTACCTATAAGACAAACCACACTCTAAAAATCTATGCATGGCATCTGTTCATAAGATCTACTCTACTCGCCAGTGCTGTCGGAAGCAAGGTGAAGCGGTGGGGACTGGGGACAGTTATCTAAAAAGGTCACTTCTGAGCCTTAATTTTTCGGTGAGCGGCAATGTTCGTTAAAATTTTGCTACTCGCGATTACTTGCAGCAATATAGTTGGACAAATTTCGGTATTGATTGGAACACTTTTATTCGTTGTATGACGCTAAACACTAAAATGCATTGTAAACAACATGACAGCTTGTCAATTATTTTATAGGAAGACTTTCTTTTTGACTAGTTTTCATGAGGTGGAAACGTCATTGGTATGCTTTCTCAAAGGAATTTCAGATTCAAGTTTGAGCGAAATTGTTTGAAATTGCTTGGACCAATGTGGGTAATGAAAACCACGGTTCCGAAAGGGTAGCCTCGCAGTGGCTCGGAAGAGTAATTTTCATTGGCTCGATTTGACAATTGCTTTTGTGTTTATAACAATGAATTGCTTCGTTCTTTAGAAAACCCGCATCCAATTGGAGACGGCCTTCCGAGGCGCTGCGAGGCTTCCCTTCCGAAAAGCTGCGTATTCCTGCTCAATTTATTGAAAAAAGACGCTTTAGTGTGGAGTGCGTCTTGTCTTACATTTCGAAAATGTTCCCTAACGACACACCTCCGCACAGGTAATGTGCAATAAATGTTAGTTGGGGTGAAAAAAAGGATTTAAATTTCGAGTGCATTTTGCCGGGAAAAACTCCAAGATACGAACTAAACTCAGGACAAAATTTTTACCAAGCCTGTGCGGAGAAGAGAGCCCTATTATAGAGTCCAGAGATGGACTGATAAATACTCTATGCATGACAGTGTTTTAAACTGGATATCCAGATAATAATCGAACATCTATTGCTTTCTTTAAGCCAGCTCTTCTGATGGACTCGAGACCGATCTCTGCAATGAAAGAAAGGAATTGGGAAGAAGGTTAGTTTTGAATTTTTCTCCTCAAAACAATAATGGTGTAAGTTCTAATAGATGGTTGTTTATACATATGACCAGTTTGTACTAACAGGTGGCATTAGATCACTCTTTAACCTCTCTGAACAAAGCCGTCTAGACAAACAAATCGTCTTTTAGTCGGACAAATCGTCAGATGTGAAAACGTGTCGGACAAAATTTTAGACGAACAGGTCGTCTAAATTTGTTCGACTACTTGTCCGTCTGTGAAGACGATTTTTGAGGGACGATTTGTTCGTCTAGACCAACAATGCAGCTTAATAAATAATAAGATCCGCTGTAAAATTTTGACATGAAAATTCACTATTACAACTCCAAAAAGGGTTTCGGGTAAAACAAGTGCGTTTCACCTCTGACTGGCTCTGAGATATCGTGCGTTCGGTTCTCTCGTATGAAAAGAGTCAGTCAACGCTCTGCCGAAAGTCGTCGGTTTTCTCTGGGTGCTCCGGTTTCCTCCCACACGGAAAGTCGACAGGGTGTGTTAGAAACTTAGAATAAACACAGTTAAAAAATAATATCATTAAACTAGAAGTTACTATCGCAAGGAAAATGCTGCCTCAGCCCCAAGGGATTAAAGGCAGCATGCACAATTTGCTGAATAAGGGGCTGTTTATATGATCCCACTTTGCCAGGAGATATGAGGCAGGATAATTTTGATGTGCTTAAATAAGTCACAATGCATGATTCAGCAAAAAATTTCATTATTTTCTCGAGATGGATTACAGTATAGTTAGTAACTGTAAACGAAAGGTTGCCTGTTCAAGCATAATATAACCTTCTTGAACCACAAGATCTTCTGTACATTTGAACTACTTCTCTACATTTGAGCATTTGAACTTTCGTTTAGCCTAGTGACTAATATTTTAATACATCAATATCATCCCTTCTTCCATCATGCAAACAGCCCTTAAGACACCTGTTCAGGAGGTAGGAAAAGTGCAATTTGAATATCAAACATCTTGCACAAAGTCGAAGGGCGGCTGAAAGTTCTAATTCTATTTTCTTGGCATGGGCGGTTTTATATGAATATCTTCAATGCTTATAACGTCTTGCTGTTGTATAATTATAATACTGTCAGTGGTGAAGCTAGCCATAGCAACAGGTCATGCTATGCAAGTTTTTAATGATTTGCATTATTCAAATAGATGCAGGTTTATCAGTATAGCATGCATACAGTATGGCCAGTTGCCATGGCTAGCTTGCCACTGAATACTGCACAATGTTTAAATGTACAGGTTTGAATATTTTACAGTAATAAATTTACGTGGTGTTTCCACAAACAAAACTATTATATATTTTATCGCCATGCAAACATACATACAAAGAACTTATTATGTACAATGTTTATATAAAAATACTAAGGGCCTGTTTACATGGAGGCGAGTTACCCGGCAAGGCGAGTTACTCAGCAATGGCGAGATCCCGGCTGTTATAGAAACTAATATTAATCCCGGGTGACTGTTTACATAATGCAGCCGAGTAACTCGCCTTGGTGAGTTCCCGGCAGAAAGAGGCGGGATTTTTAATAATGCCACCTTCAAGGCTGCCCATATCACAGAACAACGGAACAATATGCTGATCAATGGGGAGACAATATCTATTTGTTGACATTGCTAATTGTGAGCATTATCGAAAAATATAATACACTGTGAAATGTAGTGACACAGCCAGATGAATATAATATATATATGAATGTAGGCTGGTAGGATTATTTCATATTATGCTAACAATAAACACACAGTTATCAAAAATCAGTTGACATACTATTACATGGTATAAAGTTAATATGTGCAGAGAACAATCCACACTGGGTTGCTCTAGGGATCTTATCACAGTAAGCCTGATTTAACAACATTCCACGTTTGTTGTTAAACTATAAACATCTAGAAATGAACACTATACTCATCGTCTTGGCACATAACAAACAAATATTAAAACTGAGCACATATTTGTGACTCGTAAATAAGGCATTATTGACGAATAGATCTGGTGGGCTATTAGACACTGCCAGTAAATTCATGAAATACTTCAGAGCTCTTAAGTACATCTTGTCTCCTTGTATTTATAAGACATTATCAAATGTTCTAAACGACCATGCGGACAATGGGAATATTTCGGGCTGTATTAAGAAGCGCCGTAAACTCATGACATAAAAGCACATTGCTTG